GATTGGTGCATATTTAGCATTTAGGGGATGATGATTTTCGCCATATGACATGTTCCAACAAAGCAAATCGACAGCTGATCAAGACGAATCCGCTCGCATCGGACTTTAAAACCAAGTGATTCCGCTAAATCCAACTTTTTTTCGCAGTTCTACATTTGTTGGATGAGTTGGACAGGATCCGATGATCCAAATGTTGACGAACTGTTGGGCAAACGCACGATATGCTATTCTCTCTTGGTGAATATGATGAATATTTACATTCCAAAGATGCTTTTTTCTATATGCTATATTGTCTACACTTGATTAGTACCCTGACTTGGAGTAGGACCTGGTGAATGTGTAATTTTCTGTCGCCATTAATCATGTCACCTCATCGTCGTGCAAACTTTTATTTAGCATATTACAGGATCAAAGATCGTTTATGATGCACGATTTTAAGATCCATCTCCTCATATTATCTCTGATGACTATTCGACTAGAGGATTGAGAAGAGAAGCTTTGGGCTTTCTTCTAGCCAACTAGGGCTGAGTGGGGAGATTTTAAACAGCTCCATCATTTTCGTATATTCTTTGCCTGCTTTTTTATGGCTCATACAGCATAAATTATTAGTAATATTATTTATATCCTTATTCGAATTCTCGCTTCTAATTCTTCTTCCTTATCATCGTCTTCTTCTTGTTGCTATCTTCCTCTTCTTCATCTTCATCTTAGTCTACTTCATTTTCTTCGTGATCTTCTTCTAGCTCTTGTTCGACTTAATCATCATCATCATCATCACCATCATCATCATATTATTAGTATTCTATTCCTTCTTCATATTTTTCTTTTTTTTTATTATTATCGTTGCTCTTATATTATCTAAAATAAGTTTTTCCTTTATGTTGATCAACTGGGATTGATATCTTTCCAAAGTATTCTCAAAGTGAGTCCAAAGTTTCACGCCGTCTCTTGAACAATTGTGTGGTTGTTTCTCTTTTGACTCGTCCGTGCAAAAATGCCTTCTGCCTTGGACAGGTACGCGTACTGGATCCAGACTCGCCCGAGGTCAACGGTCAGATCCACTGCGCCGAGCCAGCTCACGTGGCCAACCGACAGGCTCTTCAATTCTCGCCAGATCCTCGACTCGAGCCGGCCGCGGGGGTCTACGACTTGCGTACTCGTGTCCAGTTGGATCGAGAGGCTGAAGCGATCGGCAACTGGCCGAACAGTGGCGGCGGTGACCGTTTGGTCGTCATGCTAGTCTGCTGGGATGGGAATGACCTACTCAGTGGTCTCAACGGAGACCAGGCGGTAGACGAAGCCTCGTCGTCCAATCCAAACTGGTACAGACCCATTCAGTTGACGGCCACAATGACGGTCACCCTGACGGTTTTGGACATCAACGACCATGCACCAGTTTTCTCCAAACCGATTCACCACGCCAGTCTCCATGAGAACAACGGAATCGGCGAAAAGTTGATCCAAGTAAATGAGCCTTCAAAAAGGCATCACCCGTTTGCAGTTAACCTTCCACCTGCTTTCATACATAAAAAGTATCTATTTTTGCTACAAGAATGTACTACACATTATTATAATGTTTGGTGGTATTCATATCTCTGATTGCTTCAATGTGTGATTTAAGTGTGTTCCGAGACGTTTCGGTACTGTCTGATATTATCCATTCCTACTTTAATTAATTTGAGTAGTATACAGGCAAAAGCTAAGGCCGACGAAGGGCTGATGGTGAATTTTTCCACGCTTCCATTGAATCCTACGTAGCCTTGCTTGTCAAAAGTTTTTACATTTTACCATTAAATCGGCTGGGGATGTTGATGAAATCCCATGCTATGTCGAAATTCTGAGAATAGGTTTTAGGGAGAAAGGGAAAATTCACCTTTAATCAAGATCTACCGATTATCTTGGGATCTTTCTCTTTTCCAATACGTACTATGATTTAATAAGTGACGTTATATTACAACTATGATCACAACGCATACAATGAAGCAACGCTCCATTTTCTCCTCCACATTGACCAGCAAAAAAACCCTATGCGAGAGCATTTAATGCACATGGGGAAGTCGAACATGTTCGCTCTTGGACTATGTTGTCATCGTGACTGTCATGTAGTCCATTAATCTGCCGGATCAGCCTGGAAGTTGTACCAACTGTTTGTTTTTTTACGGCCTTCACGGGACCAGACAATTAAATGGGCTTTCATTCGTGAGGCCTTGACAACAGATAGATTTCGCAAATTATTGCCATTCAGGCTTCCTTTACTCGTATCTCTTCCCAGACGAGGCCAGGTTACAAGTTTGTAAGAAATGGGTAAATAAATAAATATCCAGTCCACCTTGCAAGCGTATACTTTGCGCA